GTGACTGATCATCACCTCTTTATAGCCTTTGAAGAAAAGTATAAGAAAGTTGACCAGAACATACTATTTTGGGTAGAAACACAGAATCAAAGAAGATTCTGGTTTGAGATAAAGGAATGGGGAATATGGCATGAAAGGGAGGTGAAGAGAGCTATTTTTCTATTTCCTGTATGATATATTTTTTGTTTCCTGGTCTGGTGAGTTGAACCCATCTCAATTTTATAGATTACTTAAACTCTCATCTTAACGTCAGTATATGAAATTATAAGTTTATTTTACTAAAATCTTTGCTCTCCTCCTTTTTCCCTTCTTAGGACATTTGCTACAAGATCCTATTGCACCCACCAACTCCACCTGCCAACACTATGTCTGCAAAACTTGTAAAGGCAAGAAAATGATGATGAAACCTTCATGTAGCTGGTGCAAAGACTATGAGCAGTTTGAGGAAAACAAGCAGTTAAGCATCCTAGTGAACTGCTACAAAAAATTATGTGAATATATAACACAGACTACATTGGCACGGGATATAATAGAAGCAGTCGACTGTTCTTCTGATATTTTGGCTTTGCTTAACGATGGATCATTGTTTTGTGAGGAGACAGAAAAACCCTCAGACTCATCCTTTACTTTGTGTTTGACACATTCCCCTTTACCTTCAACCTCAGAACCCACAACTGATCCTCAAGCTAGTTTATCTCCAATATCTGAAAGCACCCTCAGCATTGCTATTGGCAGTTCTGTTATCAATGGTTTGCCTACTTATAATGGGCTATCAATAGATAGATTTGGTCTAAATATTCCTTCACCCGAACATTCAAATACGATTGATGTATGTAACACTGTTGACATAAAAACTGAAGATCTGTCTGACAGCTTGCCACCTGTCTGTGACACGGTAGCCACTGACTTATGCTCCACAGGCATTGATATCTGCAGTTTCAGTGAAGATATAAAACCTGGTGACTCTCTGTTACTGAGTGTTGAGGAAGTACTCCGCAGCTTAGAAACTGTTTCAAATACAGAGGTTTGTTGCCCTAATTTGCAGCCCAACTTGGAAGCCACAGTATCCAATGGACCTTTTCTGCAGCTTTCTTCCCAGTCTCTTAGCCATAATGTTTTTATGTCTACCAGCCCTGCACTTCATGGGTTATCATGTACTGCAGCAACTCCGAAGGTAGCAAAATTGAATAGAAAACGATCCAGATCAGAAAGCGACAGTGAGAAAGTTCAGCCACTTCCAATTTCTACCATTATCCGAGGCCCAACATTGGGGGCATCTGCTCCTGTGACAGTGAAACGGGAAAGCAAAATTTCTCTTCAACCTATAGCAACTGTTCCCAATGGAGGCACAACACCCAAAATCAGCAAAACTGTACTTTTATCTACTAAAAGCATGAAAAAGAGTCATGAACATGGATCCAAGAAATCTCACTCTAAAACCAAGCCAGGTATTCTTAAAAAAGACAAAACAGTAAAGGAAAAGATGCCTAGTCATCATTTTATGCCAGGAAGTCCTACCAAGACTGTGTACAAAAAACCCCAGGAAAAGAAAGGGTGTAAATGTGGGCGTGCTACTCAAAATCCAAGTGTTCTTACATGCCGCGGCCAACGCTGCCCTTGCTACTCTAACCGCAAAGCCTGCTTAGATTGTATATGTCGTGGCTGCCAAAACTCCTATATGGCCAATGGGGAGAAGAAGTTGGAGGCATTTGCTGTGCCAGAAAAGGCCTTGGAGCAGACCAGGCTCACTTTGGGCATTAATGTGACTAGCATTGCTGTGCGCAATGCTAGTACCAGCACCAGTGTAATTAATGTCACAGGGTCCCCAGTAACGACGTTTTTAGCTGCCAGTACACATGATGATAAAAGTTTGGATGATGCTATAGACATGAGATTCGACTGTTAAATCAGTGGGTCTTTAAACCTACCTCTGGTAGGTAAATAGCTACAGTTTAAGGCAGCTATGGTTTTGTTGGTTTAACTTGCCGGAGCTCCTGCATATAGATCACTTGTATCAAGTGTTTTCATTGCTAAGTTATATGTGTTAGTGTCGGGGAAATAGTTTGCAGATAATGGAGGAGTAACCCTACAACTACATGTCCTTAGTTCTTACAGAACCTCATAGTTTGAGAACAAATGCTGATGCAACTGATTTATACAAAATGAACTTTGGCAAGGAAAATAACATTAACCTCATTGTTTATGGTCATGCTTTGTGCATAATCAAAGTTTATGATTAAATGTAAGGAAGTGGTATCTAGTCAGTCCATGAAGATTGTGCTAAGTTTTTTGTGGAAAAGTAGCCATTAGTTTGTTCAGGAGACTCAGTGCTGCCTTCAGATGCCATTGATGTTTCTCCTGTTGAAAAGCTGATGTGTCCAGCTCATCCTTTATGCTGACATAATACCATTTCTGATCATGAAAATTGGCTACTGGTGTATGTAGCAGTTCTTAAATCAGCAGTATTATGAAAGAAAATTTGCCCCTCATTAGAATGTTGAAGAAATCTGTTTTTTAAAAGTGAACAAAGTGAAATTCTATCAGACTTCAGGTGTTTAGCTGTTTATGTTGCAAAACTCTTTGGAGTTGAGCCCCTTTTTTTAGTTGCCTGGCTCATTTCTAGGGAAAAACATTCTTAATCCTTCACTATGAGCAATGTTCTAATTAGATAAATGAAGTGGAGGAGAGCAGTTTTATTCTGAAGGTAATTGAGTTTAGACTATGTGACAGAATTTTTAAAAAAATTATAAAAGTTTTATTTAGAAATTGGGATGTATTTAAAATGATTTTGGAGTAATGCCCCAGAACATATCCAGATTGTGCATTATACTTACTGCTATTGGCCACTTTTTTAATTTTTTTTTTTTGTTTCCTCTAATAGTTTGTCACAGACTTTATTTTAAATATGCTTTTTTTAGGGCGCTATTTGTTATGAAGGCTTCTTTATAGAGGCCTAATAAAAATGCCTTTTTATGAAGCCTGTGCATTTAGGTTGGTTTGAAGCTAGGATTTTCTTTAGTATGCTCTTTTGCATGTAAAGCACAAACTATGTTTCAGTTTAAATGCACTTCTTCCCTTTAATTTTTATGGGGAAGTCGAGTCACAAACATTCTGTTGAAGGGAAATCTAGTCAGTTGCTTGAAAGAGCACAGCCCAAATAAAATAAGGACTGACTAGGTTGTAAAGAAATGACTTTATGATTTAAAAGAAGAGTTGCTGCTTTGACAGTGCTTATTTAAAGAAAAATACTGCTGGAAAATTTCCAATATCTACTTACATTCACCATCTCTCGTGAGGATCTGACATATGTTGAAGTTATGTTTTGATTTGGCACACAGCATGTTCAATGATGGTTACTCACCTAGTACAAGACATGGAGAAGAAACTTTTGGACACAGAGCAGATGACACCTCCTTCTGTTTTGTAGTGTATCCTGGTGTCATTTTCTGTGAATGTGGTCAGGTAGAGTTGTTTTTGTTGTTGGGGGTTTTTTATTTTTTTTTTGGTTTTTTTTTTTTTTTTTTTGTCTCTTTTGGTGGGGTGGGGGTGGGCTAAAGCCATAGGAAGAAAAATGTGATGTATGTGTCCAGTATGTACTATTTTGTTTTGTTTTGCAAGAAGAGTTGAACTATTTTTGATAACAAGAGTAAATGGTGGAAAATGCTTCCTAGTTGTCTTGTCTTTATTTGCTTTCCAAGTTTTGGAGTTTTATTTAATTCCTTTAAGTGTTAGCAGTGTCTCATGAAACATGTATTTGCCTAAAGTTTGTAACAGTTTTGTGTTGAACCCAGAAGCCCTACTATATAAACTTGTAAATCTGTTCTTTATTCACTAATGATCACTGCAAAATAACTTGAAATGAGATTGTATACATGGGTAACTAGGATATATTTTGCAAATCTCTCCAACTTTCCTAATATTATGATCTTAAAATTCATAGAGTACTTTATTGCTTCCCAAGTTTGATAATCTTAGTTTTGTGTTTTTTGATGCATGGGAGGTTGGCAATATAGACAAAGTGGAAATCATTAGTATGTGAGGGCCTTGATTGTTATGTAATATTGCCAGTGATGAATTCAGGTTGTTTTTAGCACAAGTTTCTCTTTTTTATGCTGGTATTCTCACTGCCACATTTTTGGAAACCTGTATCATACCTTAAATCTATCAATAAATGTTAGTTTTCTAATTCTATGTTGTAGAATACTGAGGAGTTTGGGATAGCATGCTCTGAATGGCCTATATTATATACTTTTGGGGAAGACTAATTACAGTGCCTTGATTTTTACATTGTTTTTCTTTATACCATGAATTATTTATGAATGCTCACCAGTCACTAACCTAGGGATGATTAAGAAATGATTGCTGAAGTAACTGGATTTACTTTATTAGGATTTGAAACCACCAAAACAATAACAGTATTTAATATGACGTATCTTCACTTGTTCTTTGAGTCTGTTATTAACATAAATGATCTTTCACCTTATGTTACAAAAGTTTTAGAGCTGACAGTTTATCTTTTTTGTTAGGTTCATTAAGTGTACATTTCCATGCAGAGGTGTAATTTGGTCCTAGGATAAAGAATGGACTGTGTTATTAGTTTTCTTAAAAACAACTCTGTGGTGACTGTGGAAGAAAAGTAAGTTTTACAACAGAAGAAAAATAAAATTTCCTTTCCCGTGTCATAGGTAACAAATATAAAATGCTTTAGAAAATACTAAGCTCAAAGTATAGTATTAGAATCTAATACTTGGGTGGTATTTTAACTTTTCTCCTTTTTAAAAAATTATTTTAGGTACCCAAATAATTATGTATTATTTTAAAAGAATATATATCCTTTCCCCAGAGGAAATCACTTCTCAATATGAGGTGTTATCATTACAGCTCTTTCTTTATAGTTTTCCCAGGGCTTTATGCTGGTTTGCAATGTTACTGTTTCAAACATAAATGAGTTGCAAGTGTGATTAAAACTAAGTGTGTAGTGATTATCTTAGTGAACATGATTCATATTTGACAACTTGTCTTTATTTAGTTTTGGAAAAAGGGAAAAACAAAAATGAGTTAAATCATGCAGGCATCTCTATCCAAACACACCTTAACATTTCCAAAAGTTGAGCAGATGACTTATCCCATTGAATCAATTTAGAGTTTTATAAACACTTTGAACAGTACACAATGACATAGATAAGATACAGGGAAAATACATAGAATTTCATTAGTTTGATTACCTTGGAAATTAATGTTATGCTATGAAACTTATTTTTAATTGACTAGCATTAAGATCTTGATAAACCAAGTTTTATCAAGGAAGTAGATATTGTAACAACTTGAATTTTCCAGTTGGGCAGTAATGATTATATTCAGCACGATCTTTACCAGAAAGTCAAATATATACTATCTTAGTTCCTCAGAATTCACATTTCTTGCATTCAACTCTAAGAAAGGAGTACAGTGAAACACATTCTTATGTCTGAAAATATGATACTTTGGGTAACCTAAATTAAAAAAGCCTTAAATGGAATGATGTTGGTAGTTTACTTGTATAATTACAGACTTTTGAAACCAAATATTGACCAAAGTGAAAGCAAGGAGAAACAAGGTAAAAAAGTAAAGTCAAGTAGTAAAAAAAAAATCAAATGTATATTGGAAAATTGAATTTTATTTTTACTTTTTGCTGAGTCTTAGAAACATTAAATCATTATGGATAATAAAACCTTTAAACCAAATCTGACTTCTAAAAAAAGGTGTTCCCTTTTAGTATTTTTTATCTGAAATTTAAAAAGTAATTGCTTTCCTTCCATGGTAAAGGTTGGATGGCATAGATGGTAAATTTCATGTATCACATAAATACTTTTAATCCTAATGATTTACCAGTACGTTCAGGTATTGCATGTAGTATTTCCTAACAGTTTAGTCACTTTTAAGCTTTTAGTTCTTTGTGAACTATTAATATTAAGTTTTAATAGTTATTTTCTCTAACAGTTAAATGGAAGATCAGTGAAGATCATGAAGGTAAAATAACAGGAAAATGGGACAATATTGACAAGAAGGATTGGTAACTATTACTGTACCAGTTGATAGTACATTTCCTAAATTCTCCTTTTCTCAGTTTTTGCCTACCACAATTCTAAGGTTTGATTATTTCATTATTTGGCCTTCACACCAGCACGGGGACCAAGGTGGGATGGAAAGGAAGCTATTCTGACATTCAGGATTTGTGGTTAAAACATAAATTCCAGGGTAAAAGTTGATGAGTTTGACATGCGTATTAGTAAGTTTCTTGGGGGGGTTTCTTAAACTATCAAAAATTTCCATTCTTTTTATAGTTTTTTCAATTTTTATCTTCAAGGATATTGCAGGATTTGGCTGCATTGTGACCTGCTGAAAAATGTAGAATTCTGTAATGAACACATCTACCACTATAGTAAACATGAAATAGCTTTCTTTTATGGGTGGCATCACTGTTTTCTATTTTCGTGATAAATACTGAGCTGGATGGAATATTTGGAGTAGTTGTTTCTTTTCAACATGAAGGAATAATGTGTAGATTGAGGCCTTTACCATTGGCCTAGTCTAATATTAAGTAATGAATATGTCTAGTAAGAATTTTCATATATCATTAAGTCTTCAAGTAGGCTTTCTGATAGGAAATGTAGATGGAGCATCAACTAATTTGGAGACTTAACATCATTGGACAATTCTCTACAAATATTAGATGAGTTAAAAGGAAACTTTTTCAAGTATGAAGCAAATTCTGTACTTCATTAGAGAAGTTTTCTCTTTAGGTTTTATATAAGATACACAGGATGGGGAGGGGATTATTTAGAGCTTGCCAGCGAAGTTGGAAGGCCCAGTGGTTACAATACCTGAGGATGTAAAGTGACTAGCAGTTTGGCAGGTCATTGTGAAATAATACATTAAACCAAGTAAGTTCAAGATCTTTGAACTCTAGTACACACATGATTAAAAGAAGTCTCTGAGATGTTTTGGCAGTGCTTTTATTACCAGGGCTAATTCAGCTCTGGAGGCCCTTAATGATTTTTCAAGTTCCAGAATTTTTTACTCCTTTTCTGCAACTGAAGGTTTCTTCTGGGCTCCATAGGAGCCCTGAGGGCCTCGGGGATGCTGGACAGAACTGTGCTTGACACTTTCCCCAAGAGATCCTTGGTACATTCAGGGGTGAAGAATGCTGATTCACAGACTTTGGATGGTGATATACATCATTATATTTGCTTTTGAGGAAAAACTCTGTAAGAGGTTTGAAGCAAAGTGGAGGACTCTCCCAAGTTGAGTATGTATCCAGACCTATTGCTTAAAAACGTTTTAAAGTTCCTAGTGCAGATACACACCTGCAGAAATCAAAGCCTTTAAAAAGCAGTATGCAAACTAGAACATCTCTTCACAAGAAAAAAATTAAAATACGTATCTCCCTTTCATGTAGATATCAGCAGCTATTCTTCATCCACTGACTGAAGCTTTCCACATTTCTCTGCAAGGCTTGAGGTTACTATTTTATTGCCTTTGTTTCCAACTTCTGAGGGAGAGGCAGGTTCCTCTGTTTCATAATCTTCAAAAGAACTGAAATAAAAAGCAAAAGTAAGTTACTGACTCTTATAAAAAAGTTTTAATGTTGGATAGAAGTCAACATGGCAAACTAGAAAACCGAAGACCAGCTTGCAAAAGTACCCTCAGTTGCTAAATGGCAGCTATAAACAGCCAAGCCACCCTGGAAGAGAGTGCTCTGGGATAGAAAACACATTCTTCTCCCTGTTCCTTAAAGCCCCAGCTCATGTTGGAATTTGTTGAAAATGGATTGTATCAAGGTTTCCGTATGGGTCCTGGTAGGAATGAACACTATGAATGATGCTGCGTTAGGGAAGCGTGAGGTCCATAAAGTATGAGCTTTACATGAATGCCTTCATTGAAGTGGCTTCCATGCAGCGGGGAACTTTTCGCAAATGGTTTTATAGTTTCCATGACCTCCAAGAAGTACATTTAGGTGTGCAAGTGTGTACAGAGCAGACTAAAGCCCATTCATGGATTGCCTTCCATTCTCTGCAGAATTCCACAGCATATTCCCTCTGCGCACTCCCCTTTAGAGGTTACTGATAGATAGCCCCTGAGTTCCGTATCCTCCAGGCTACCCAGGAGGGTGGCTTTAGGCAGGGAGGACAAAATATTTTATCATGGGAATGATGGCTGCTTGAAGTACTAAATATTCTGAAGCTACACTGGACCTCAGAAAAATATACATGATCAATTAGCAATATCTGTTATATTTGGTATCACTGGCTTAGCCTTGTTCCCCTTGGCAAGGACTTTTCACATCTGTGCAGAAATTTCTGGACATACAGTAGTCCCTTGATCAAAGATACCAAGGCTGGCTAGCGAGGGAAAATGCTGAGGCAGGTGTACCTGTAACTGGTACCTATTCAACGAATAGAGGCTTTTAAAAAAAGTCTGGTGTTTGGAAAACTTACCCGAGTACCAGTTTTTGATTCTATCAAAAATTTACAAGTGGGTCATTTTGCAAAAATACTCCGGCCTGTACTTAATTTCTATTTCCAGTCTTGCCCCAGCTCCTTGAGGCCTCAATGTAATGCATATGCTGAATAAGGAGGCAGTAAGGATGTTGCTTTAATGGGAGTAAAGCAGAGTTGGTGGCCTCCATTTCTGGGAACATGATTCTCAAAAGTTAATTCTAGCAATGCAGTGTCAGACACTATGACTCCTTATTTCATGTCAGAGTGGAAAACATTTTCTTCCCCTTAATGCCCTAATCTGCCTGCTGTCTGTGAACTCTCAGTATCTTTAAATACCTCAATGCAGATCTGGAAACAACTTAAAAAGAGTTAAGCCTGAACTGAGATTCAGTGAGTGAGTGAGCCCCTGTTGCTAAGCATGGGCCAAATGCTAGTAGTACAGTGGTGAAAAGACTGAACCAGCCCCTTCCTCACAGAGCTTGTAGCCTAATGGAAGGCATCTGGTTTAGCTTTAGAGCATGGACTTGGGAGACAGACTCCAAAGCCAGGTTCCAGTCTCAGTTTGATCACTGAATGTGACTTTGGGCATGTTATCTAACCCCTCTGCATCAGTTTCCTCAACTAATGAGATACTAGCAGTTCCTACCCCTCATAAGGACTGAGTGAAGATTAGGTGAGAGGGCCCATAAATCATAAACTCTTGTTAGGTATGCAGAGACTTTGGAGGAATCTTAGGCGTTGTGGGAGTTTATTCAGAGCCTTTTGTCAGTGTCCTAGAGACTTCTTTTACTGTAAACATTCTAGTGTGTCAGACACCACCGTACAACAGAATTATTCAGCTTTAAACATCAATGCTGTTGACAAAGCCTGCTGTAACCTCCCCTTCAGTGTCAGTGCATCTCAGGGTTCTAGACTAAGCTCTTCTCATTTTGTACTTCTCTGGGCAATTTTTCTCATGGCCTTACCCACTAGTGCACCTGTGGCTTCTAAATGTACCTGTCCAGCCTCAGCCTCTTTCTAAGCCAAAGACTGCCATGTATCCAGCTGCCAACTAGATGGCTCTTCGGGTAAGACAGCATGGACGCATCTGAACTCATTCTTCCCACACCCCTCCTCCTCCCTATTGTAATGAACAGGACCATAATCAACCCACTCACAGCTGGAAACCTACTTATCCCAAGTTGCTCTTCTCACCCCTCTTCGAATCCCACGAGTGTCTTCCACCACGTTCAATACCACATGGACATAGTCCTGCCTGTTCCTCTCCACTACCACTGATTTAGTTCAGGCACCATACTTCCTTGCTTGGATTACTGCAATAGTTTTCTAACAGTTGGTCTTCTGGCTTTCACGCTTGTCACATATCCTTTGTTACTGCCATGCTAGGCTATTTACTGTGTCAGAATGGTCATGAGCCTAATGCCACTGTACATGATTTTCAGTGGCCTGCAGTGCCCTTCCCCCTTTGGTTAACTTGTGCTCATCTTTTAATCTGAGATGTCATTTAAAAGGTTCCTGATTCCCAGTGCCTGAGCTACCATCATCTCTTAGATGTCTATAATAGCTTCCTCATTTGTCCCCCTGCCTCTATTGTATCTTTACCAATCTAGCAGAGTAATCTTTAAAATAAGTGGGATTACATTACTTCTTTGTTTAACTCTATTTCAATAGCTTCCCCGGGGCCTGCGTGATCTGGCCCCTGCTAATCTTCCCAGCCACGTCTCCCTCTGTTGCTCACTATACCCCAGCAACACTGGCCTTTTAAAGCGTGTCCTCGACACACTCCCTCCTCAGCCATTGCACGTTTTTCTCCCTGCTTTTTGTATAACTGTTTCCTTAACCTTTAGGTACTCATCACCTCCTCAGGAAATTCTTCCCTCAGCACCCTAAGTTGTAAGCCTCTGTCCATTATTGGCTCACCCTATTTGCTTCTCTCATAATTATATACATAAATGTCTCTTCCCCACTGGACTGTAAAGTGACTATTTTGTAAATCACCAATTTCCCTAGGCTGTAGTATATAGTGGCTGGCACTAGGGGCTCAAAATGAATTGTTGAAGGAAAAGTGATGTACTAATGCTCTTGTGAAATTGTGTCAAGTTGCTGGGGAAGGCTTGAGTCCGGTGAGGGTGCAGAAGTCATTTTAATCATTTTTTAGTCACTAAAGTCAGAACTATAGGAGCCTTAATCTTAATCCTTCTCTTCAGGAATTCCTCAGGGAGAGTGTTAACTGATTTCTTCTCAATAACCTTTTCCAGGTTTATTTGTAGGTCACTGGGATTTCTCTAGGCTCAAATGAGGATAATTTTATGAGGTATTCTCTGTTAATTTAACTGACCATTTTTGAATGAGTAAAGGGGTCAAAGGATTAAAGCAGAACTCAGTTCACAAACAGTTCACTAGAAATCCCAGGTATCAAACTGAGAAATTCTTTAACTTAGTATTAACATAGTATTTGTTAGCATAAGGAAAAATAATGGTTCACGTATTTTTGCTAGCAATATGATTTAGAAACCCGTTTCCCTAAGTTTTCCCTTTCAGATGAGCAATTTTCTGGACAAAAGTATTAAGGCTGGTTATGCCAAAGAATTTGTATGCAGTTTCGGGGTATTGTCTGGGATTTGTGGTTTGATTCCAGTTTTGGGATTCTGATTATTTACAGGGGTAAAGGGATGGAATATGTGATTCACGGTTTGTCTCAGGAAATCTAAGACATGGTGGCTATAAGCACACAATGAAATGTTAAGTAGTTCTCTGATTTGGAGCCTATCATGCTTTAGAAGTAGGAGTGGGTCATTTTTACCTTTATACTTTTAAATTAAAAATAGGCATCCTAAGCCATTGATATAAAACGGATTAACTGAAATCTTGGTAAATTGGATAAATCTTGGTAAATCTGGTTCAGTGAATTTTCTTGTTGACCAATTCAATGACTAGAAAATCTTTTGTTTCAACTCTTACTAAAAGTTTCCTAATACTGCCACCCACTTTCCTGCCTCAAAAAGCTGATCTCATTTCATTTTTGATGGTTCAGGATCTCTTGCAGTTCCCTAGGGTTATGATCCATCAGTTAATTCTTTTTTATTTTGGATGTAGATAGTATGAACTTTTAGGTTAAGTATATTCTAATTAATGAATTTGAAGGGAGGGACAGGGTTTCATTCATTTTTGTTACCAACCACAGTGCCTGAGGTACCAGTGAATATTGAATAAATTAAAATTGGGCTTTGATTTTTGTTGAATGTAGAAAAAATAAAAACATATTAATTTCAGGTCCATACAAGGGCTGTTTACTGAGCATTATTTAAAAAGTCTCAGAACTATTCTAGTTGTATAGAACTCATGCTTTGGAATATTTTAACGCCTGCCATTCCTTCTCTTTCTCTTCCCCCGCCCCTCTCCCTGTCCCGTTACCTCTGCTCCTCTGCTATATTCTACCACTTCACTGGGACAGTCTCCCCACAGCCCCTGCTCCAGACTTGCCTCGCATCAGCCCCATTCCTGGAGGACTGCTCTGGTAGGCTTCTGGCGGGCCTTCTTTCCTATGGCGCTTTATTTTCCCGTGCCAATGAAAGTAAATGCGGAACTTTTAGAGTAATTCACATAAGCTTATATGTAATATATAGGAAAAAGCCCCCTTTAAAAACATTCAGTAGAGAACAGTTCTTTTAAACCACCTAAATGTCCAATAATAGGGAAATGGATGAGTTACGGCTTAAGAAAACACTCTAAAGCATTGAAAGTCATGTTTATGAAAACACTAGTAACATTAAGTGTCAAAAAGAAGTAAACCAAAGTGTAAATAATGATTATCTCTCTCTGGATGACTGAACCAAGGGTAATTTTAATCTCTATATTTTTCCAATTTTTTTTCTGCAGCAAACCTATATTTTTCTAATCAGATAAAGACTCGGGATGAAAAGAATTGCATTTAATTTAGGTTAATCAAAGGTAAAACTATTGTTTTTGAAATATGCTGTAAGAAAGTATTTTTAACAATGTAAAAAGACTCAACTAAAAATCTGAAGTAATCGAGTATTCGTCAAATTGGCAGAAAAGCTTGGCTCTGATTATTGCAGATCTGTTTCTTAAGAT